TATATATATATATATATATATATATATATATATATATATATATAGAATATATATAATAACTATATATATTGTGTATATATATATATATTATTATAAAATACAAATCATAAGTATATTAAAATAAATAAAAAAACGTAAAAATAATAATATATATATTTTTTTAAATTATATATCTATATGAAACTATATGAAATTTTATTCTAACTGAATTTTGAGATAAATATATATATTTATATCAAAATACACTTAGAATGAAATTATATATACATCTATGTATATATAAATAAATCAAAATAATATGAAATATATATATCCATATACAAAATTACATAAATAATTTCATAAATATACACGTAGACTTCAAATATATAAATATGCATATATATTTAAATTCTACATGTGTATTTATGTAAAAATGTTTTATAATTAAGTAATTTTATTGATTGCAATTTGAGGGACCTGCCTGACAAGCCAGGCCAAAAGTCCAGAGAATTTAATTTGCTAGCACTGTATGTAACCATGTAACTTTCTATGACACCCTAAAACCTGTCAGGAGACTTCGCTGAACACAAATATTAGTGATTCAAAACAGTAAAACATATCACAGCGATGATATTGTCAGTAAAAGTGACTTTTTTTGAATTTTTCACACACAAACAGCACTTTCACTGATGATATCATTGTTGTAATGCATTTTACTGTTTTGAAACACTAATATTTGTGTTCAGCAAAGTCTCCCGAGTATAACAGTACAGGTTTTATAGCGTTTTTGAAAGTTACAGCATCAAATATAAGGGTCAAATATTTTTACATTGAAAATTGCCAGGTTGGTTATGTTGCCTTTGAGAGCGTATGATCAGGGCCGTCTTTAACAAGGGGCAAACGGGGCAGTTGCCCTGGGCCCAGTTGCTCCTGGAGGCAGGGCCGGTGCAAGGATTTTTGCCGCCCTAGGCAAAAGTAAAGTTTGCCGCCCCGCCTCCCCATGTGACATCACAATGCCCCACCAATATGATCTGCCATGTTAACTAACGCCAGTGCTGCAGTGCCGCCGTGTTTACATTAAAAGGCCTGCAGGAACAGGCTATAGACACCAGAACCACTACATTAAGCTGCAGTGGTTCTGGAGACTATAGTGTTTCTTTAATGTGAGGTAAATTAGAGATTAGTGCCACGAATAATATACTAGATTGCCTACTTACAACCAGATGAGGATGATGATGGGCTCTAGCTGCAGTCTGGCTCCACTGGTCTGGTGTAGAACATGCTCTCTGGAGGCGGTTTGTAACTTTGGTCACAAAAATCAATGTTCTGGGAGAACGGGAAGCAGCTCCATTTTTGGGGGCCCTTTACACAGCTCAAGGTCTGGGTCCCAGAGTCCACCTTCATGTTCCACCAATGAGTTTGCTCACAGGGGGTGGAGTGTGTAGGGGATGTCCTGATGTGTGTAAGGAATGCATTGTGTGAATCTGTGTTTGTATGTGTAAGGGCTGCGAGGTGTGTTTGTGTATGTATGGGATGCAGTGTGTGCGTCTGTAAGGGATGCATTGAGTGTGTGTAAGGGGTGCATTGAGTGTGTGTAATGAATGCATTGTGTGTTTCTGTGTGTGAAAGGGATGCATTGCTTGTGTATGTGTGTCTGTGTGTGTAATGCATTGTGTGTTTTTCTGTGTGCAAGGGGTGCATTGTGTGTGATTGTGTGTGTGTGTGATGGATGTCAATCTCCCCCCCCCTCCAATTTCCTTCTCCCCCCTCTCCAATTTCCTTCTTCTCCCTCCCTTCCAATTTCCTTCTTCTCCCCCCCTCTCCAATTTCCTTCTTCTCCCCCCTTTCCACTTTTCTTCTTCTCCC